GTAAATTACCAAAAAGTTGTTTATTTTATTTATAAAAGAACAAAACCTTTTAATTTTGATAATAAAATTGTTTAGCATGTTCTTTTATCCAAAAAACTCAAAAAAAAACAACTCAAGTTTCAACTTTATTCAAGTTCACGTTCTTTTAAGTTTTAACTTTATTCAATTTTACTCAACTTTATTCAAGTTCTAACTTCAACTCAAGTTATAACTCAAATTCAACTCAAAAACTACACTCAAGTTACACACAACTCCTAATTTGGCGTTTGTGCTACTGGAATAAAGAGTTAGAACATTCGGTAAATGAAAAGGAAGAAAATTCAATTTGTTCTAGAATGAACACGTGCGCGGCACGTGCGTCAAAAGTCAAGAAGAGCGTAATGCACATGTCATTTCCAATTTTCAGGATTTGGGAGGAGTCTTGCCCTACAAACGGGTCATAACTCACTACTATCCACAAAAAGAATAAATAAATATATATATATATATATATATAGAGAGAGAGAGAGAGAGAGAGAGAGAGAGAGAGAGAGAGAACGATAAAAAAGAAAAAAAACAAGAAAAAAAAAAGTTGTCTTGACTCACAAGAATAAGGTGAGGAAATTTCGTGCTGGGAAAGACAAACTTGTCTACTGGAAAATAAAACGTATACAAACAACATAACATAATTCTTGAATCGTATGCTGTACGTCAAGTATAATTAATAGTGATTATCCTCGTAGAGAATTAAAAAAAAAAACACTTTTCACTTGGAATATGAAACTTGTCCACATGAAGAACAGAAGCAATATATGAAAGTTCTCCTCATTTGTTTGTGGATAACTCAAAGAAAATTTGTCTTCGTCATCTAAGAAGACCAAAATAAAATTCTGTTTGAAGTCAAATTAAATGTCAACTGCAGACATCTAGTCACCAGACCAAATAATCTAGAACTTGTACGTTGTTTATGGACACAAAAATTATTAAAGGCATGTTTTGTTGACAGGTTTAAATATAATTTTAACAAAAATTTAAATTTTATAAGAAAAAATAGTATAACAAAACTTTTTAAATAACTGGAGTTCAAACTCCTAAACCAAACAAGCCTAAGATTAGTTTGTTGTGAGAAAAACAAAAAATAGCAAATAAAGTTTGGTTCAGTTTTTGTGGTGGTAACCATTGAAAAAAAAAAAAAACAAAAACAAACAGAGAGATATGGCTTAATCTTTAATGACGCGCATAAAAGAATTGATTTAAAAACTATATACATAAAAGAGCTAAAAGATTTTTTTACTCCACTCTCTAACTATTAAGCAGGTCTCGTTCACTTTACGGATTTGAATTTTTAATTTGAACTGAGATGTGATATTTTCTGAGAGCTTTTTACTGTAACATAAAAGTTAGATGTGACATTTTCTGAGAGCTTTTTACTGTAGAAACCTAATTGAAAACTCGAATCGGAAAAATGAACGAGGTTATTTCTCTCTCGCTTGCTCCTATAATTATATATTTTCAAATGTGTCCTTGCTTATTGTTCTTTGTGTAATCCATATTATATCAAAGGTGATCATTATAAATACTTTTTTTTTCTATGATTGACCCACTGGAAAAAAACTCTCGAATGTATCATTTTTAAACAGTTTTTCATGCAACCCTTACAACTATTATTTACAACTATTATTTTCTCATAAATACCTTTTTAATTTGTTCCTTTTTCATTGCCTTTTCTTTCCCTTTCCTGATGTTTTTTTTTGCTTTTTATTTCCAGCAAGGTTCTTCTATAATTTAATATTATCCCCTATCTAAAAATAGAAGTGACTAATCCAAAAGGTCGAGGTATAAGTTCTTTTATTTCATTATCATAAATATAGTTACAATAGGAATTGGTTTTATTAACATTTTTTCATGGAACATTTTTTTTTACATTCACACACACATAGTTAAAAGTTTGGGCAGGTCTAAACATACCGACACGAGGCTTGACATTGTTGGCCTGCCTCGACCTAAATTTTTGGGCGGGGCCTGACTGAGGTTTCAAGCTCGAAAGCTTATTCGGGTCGGGCCGGTGCATATATACACACATACATATAGATTTGCAAGTTTGACCCAATTTAAACGGGCTGGCCTGAAGCTCGTCATTGTTGGTCTGACATGGTCTAAGGTTTATTGGGTCGAGGTTTTGAGCCCGAAATCTTATTCAGGTCTTTTAAAAAAAAAAAATAAAGTACCTTATAAAATATAAGGGTCAACACGATCTGGGGTTCTCTGCATTTTAGGGCTTGGCCAGACCCAAATTCTTATTTAGAGTTAGGCTCCACTCGGATTAGACTGTCCAAACTTTCACCCATACATATATGAAATAGTAAAACTATGTTGCATCATTCATACACTTTTGTTCACGCATTGCTCCCTTATGTTTTAATCATACACTTTTGTTTTAACCACGCTCGATTTCGTATATCCTAAATGGGTCTTTTTTTATTGGGTCTAGGAACTTATATTCGAGCGTGTTCGTTTGGTTCATGTATTCAGAACCATTATGAGAGAAAAACACTGTAGAGAACCATGAATTATAATTCAGAATCAGAGATGAATACAGGAAACAAACGGGCTACTGAGTCTTTTTTTATTGGGTCTAGGAACTTATGTTTAATGCGATGTTTAATATGTCTTCACTGGTGGATCCGTGTTTAAGGTCGATTTCCTTTATAATTGGTCTTCATTTCCGACCATATTTAATAATGTAACTTATTAATTTTGAAATGTAACCCCTAAAGCCACTTAGTGGCGTTGATTTAACCCCTAAAGCTACTTAGGGCTTTACTTTTTCCATTGGGCATTCTTCTCACTCAATTTTACAGATATTAATGAAACAAGACATAAATATTCATAATTATTAATAAATGAATTGCCCAGCTCATCTTCAAGGGTTTAACGTCCTCTTATTCACAGAATAAGGAAAAAAATATGGTTGCGTCAAAGGTTAGAATTGGAGCAAACATCTAAAACCAAAGTGAACTAAGCTTGAAATTTGTGACGATCATCCATTTGTTTCACGAGTTTAAACCACATTAATTACTAATACCGTTTTATTACAGTATTTTTTTTTATAAAAAATTAAAATTTTATTTAAATTTATGAACCGATCTAGTATAAAAATAAAAGAACAAAACAATTACAAAGAAAAACCTCTCGCTTTCACAAACGAAATGAAAATTTGGACCAACCGTTCAAACTTGAAATTAGCCAATTCCCCTCTTCTCTTTAGAAAGCTGTTGGACAAGCATCCTAAAAAACGGACAAATTAAATTAAAGAATTATTTTCATAATTGTCATTCAAATTATGTACTATAATTTAAAATGACTTTCATTTTTCAAAACGATTTAAAACTCCTCTCAACCTATAGAAAATAGAGCATAACACCTACTCCATCCATTTTTATCTATAAATTTAATTATTGGCGTGACATGTCTTTTGACATTATAGAAAGATATTAAATTCTAATTAATTCTATTAAAATGACGAAATATTAAAAAAATAAATAAAAACAAATAAAAGCTCCCTTTAAAAAATAAAAAGGTATTAATTATTGAATAATAATAATAATAATATTCAGAATCTAAAAAAAACAAAAAACTTCTGAAATTATAAAAAAAGAAAAGATATGGAGTTTGAACTTAGATCGTTTAGTTGAGAAATTTATATCTCAATTTAAATCATAATTTATTATTTATTATAATATTTTTTCTTATAAAAAATACACATAAATTAAAAATAATTTTAATTTTATGATTTTAATTCATAAATCAATCGTCTCCGGACGAATTAAAAAAAAAAAAAACACCTCACGATCACCGTATGCCGTTCTTCTCTACCACCTTCTGAATCTCTTGACTCTTAGCCAAACCTTGCCCTCTCATAGTCCTAACATTACTGAACACAGATCACCCCCAATCTTCCTCCACAATCCACATTCAGAATCCTAACCCTTCAAAACCCCTAACATTAGAATCTCCAAATCTTCAAAACAGAAAGCCCCATCGGAGCACTCTGTGGAGTGCGACCAAAACGACGATGTAACAGAGGAATTTTCCCCCGAAAATCCTCGACCCAACAACGACGATGGCGATCTCTCATCAGTTTCCTTTGCCCGCAACCACGTCTCCGCCGTCGCCTTTCGCCCCTCGCAAGCCCCGGTTCAAATCTCACCCAAGCCGAGCCCGCAAACATCCCCGACCAGATCCATGCCATCTCAATCTCGAGTAAGACGACCGACAATGAGATTGGGGATGGGCATTGGGCGGTTGTGTGGGTTGGGGGAGACCTAAAATCTGAAAAATCCCAGAGAATAAAATCTCACAAATGCTTATATGTATGTAAACCTGTTCGTGATTACTAATTGAAAGGGAAGAGATTCATGCTGTTTGAAGCAGAATAGTGAAATAGGTGATCAGGATCTTGGCGAAGTTTTTCTTTTCCTGTGATTTTCGTTCTTCTCCATGGGATCGATGGGTTTTTTCTATTTCGAAATATATTGAGCTTTTTTTTTCTCTATTATTTTTTTTTTATTCTTTATTATTTTTTTAATACTTAATCATTCTAATAGAGTTAATTAATATCTTCAGTAAATATATTTGTAGACAGAAGTAGATGGAAAGTGTTTTGATTTGTTTTTTTTTTATAAATTAAGGGATATTTTAAATCATTTTGAGAAATCATATACATTTTAAATTAAGATAAATAGCTTAGAAACAATTATAAAAGTAATCTTAAATTAAACAACATTGTTATATTTAACAAGCTTAAAACTTGCCATGTTGCAAGACAACATAAAAGCAACATATAATTGAGTAGTCCCTTATCTTTTAATAAAAGAGGAGACTGTGTAGTAACACACACAAAAGTGAAAACATTTAAGGGCAAGTTCGTCATTTGGTAGATTCGTATTTGATAATTGTACCATGACAAAGACTTATAATAATAATAATATTATTATTATTATTCTAGAAATACGGTTGGCTGCGGTTAGCTTCCACAGTTGGGGCCATTTCGGTCAAACTCTTCATTCTAAGACGTAACCCCCAAGCCACCAAAAAATGAAACTCTCGAGTTGGGCATTCAAATTACAAAACTCCCTTTTGAAATTCAACACAAAATCACCATTTAAAAAGCCCCCCGTTCCTCTTTCTCTTTCCCCCTCAAACTCTCCCCTCTTAATCTTATTGCCTAATTAAAACACACAACAAAAACCTCTCTAATCTCCCTCTCTCTCTCTCTCTGCATATCTTTAGTAACTAATATTATTATTATATCATGGGGACTTTGGTAGGGCATGTAGCCCCGGGCATGGGGTTCTTGCTAATAGGACTATGGCACCTCTTCAACCACATCAAGCTCCACGCCCTCCACCCGACTTCCTACACCGCGCCGCCGTGGTTTCCCGCCTCCAAGCTCAGACACCTCGAGCTCTTCCTCATCATGGCAGGCTCCGCCGCCTCCGTCGCCATGGAGCTCTTCATTGGCCCCAAAAGCCACCAGCCCTTGGACCCCGACGGCACCATCCCCTCCAACCATCTCCACAACTTCGAGCACTCCTCCATTTCTCTCACCTTCTTCTCCTACGCCCTCCTCTCCCTCCTCCTCGACAAATACTCCTCAAGACTGTCATCCCATCACCACGTTCGGGCCGCAAAATACGGCCTGACTCAGTTCCTCGGCGCGGTCGCTTTCGGGCAGCAGCTCCTCCTCTTCCACCTCCACTCGGCCGACCACATGGGCCCCGAGGGACAGTACCATTCGCTTCTCCAGCTCGCGATTCTCGTCTCCGTGATCACGACCCTGATGGGAATTGGGTATCCCAAGAGCTTCATGGTGAGTTTTATCAGGTCTTTGAGCATATTCTCCCAAGGGGTTTGGCTTGTTGTTATGGGCTTTATGTTGTGGACTCCGAGTTTGATTCCAAAAGGGTGTTTCATGCACTTTGAAGAAGGCCACCATGTCGTTCGTTGCTCTGGGGAAGAGTCGCTTCACAGAGCCAAGTCTCTTGTGAATCTTCAATTTAGTTGGTTGTTAATTGGAATCGCCGTTTTTGGGACGTCTCTATACATGGGATTGGTCTTAATTTACGGAGAAGATCAAAAAGTTGAGTATTTCTCACTTGGGTTGAAAGAATTCGAAGATGATCAGGAAGATGATGATCAAGACACGGATGATGTTGAATCCCAGAAGAAAAGCGAGGTTGCTATTAGTGGGACTTCCAAGAGTTTTATTGAAATGGGAAAATCAAGTTTTGGGCACATTGATATTGAAAGGTAGGGAATTGGACGGGGAATTAGGTATGTGTACAAATTAATTAGGTCGGTGGGATATCGTGAGAAAATTCGTGTTTATTTTGCTTAGTTGGTTTTTTTTTTTATTAAAAAATTATGATATATATTGCAAGAAGGGGAAGCTAAATGTAATTACAAGGAAAACATTGTTCCGTGTTATATTTGGTGGATTATAGTGCTTTTAGTCAGTCCATTTTGTAATTTGTGTGTACATTTTAAATCGTGCAAGAGATTAGAGGAAAGTGACATGCTAGAGGGATAATTTGTGTGCATATATTCAAACGCCCACCAACTAGTTGTAAAGAAACTTCCTAGTTGATTTGGTTTAAAAATTATACTGTTTTTATTTTTATTTTTTTTCCTTTTACTTCCATATACTTGTTTGATTATGTACTCTATGGCCTTTTATAAAGATTTGAAGCCTTTATCACGTTGTCCTTGCATGCTGTAATAATTGATTAGAATGGCCAAAACTTTTTTAGTTGTCCGTGTGTATGTGATATATATATATATATATATATACATATACACATATACATATGTATATGAGCTGGTTTTCTGGATGATTATGAATCGTACGTAATATTCCACGTGATTTATGTAATTCTTAATTAACGTTCTTGAAATAATTAATGTGTTGCGAAAGCATATAAAGTAAGAAAAAACAAAACTTGCAAGGCAAATTTAATATTCTTCAGCCTCAGCCTCCATCCAAATAAAATAAAATAATTCAACCCCCTGATTGCGTGACGAAATTGTAATTCCAACAGATTTTTTTAATAACAACTCGATATACAATTATCATTTTCAGTATTTTGACGAATAGAATGATCAGCAAAACTTTAGAGAGAGAAATTTAAAGAGAGAATTTTATTAATCTTGTGAATATGTACAAAATGAAGAGTTTTAAAGTTTTATTTATAAGAAAATTTTCAGACTATTTACGGTTACTATTTACAAAGAAGAAAAACTTTAGAGAGAGAGAATTTCATTAATCCTGTGAAGATATATAAAATGAAGAGTCTTAGAGTTCTATTCATAAAAAAAAAATTGGCACTACTCACGGTTACTATTTGTACAGTACTTACTGTTTACGGTTACTATTTGTACAGTAAGATTCTGACATGAATAGTAGTACTTTGACTGACTTGCATAGTAACTTTGACTAAGGTGGAAAGTTACTATTCATAACACTTCCCCTTAAATGTCCACCATTCATGATGCCTCATTAAAATCCTTGTAAGAAAAAATTCAGTGGGATAAAAACCATAGCAAAGGGAAAAAGAGAACATTATTTATCTATATGTGTTTATGTTGTCTCGTTAAAAACCTTAGCAGGAAAACTCAGTGGGATAAAACCATAATAAGAAAAAAAGAATACAACCACGTAAAGATTATTATTTGTACAGTACTTACTGTTTATATAGTAAGTTTTTGACATGAATAGTAACTTTGACTGACTTACATAATAACTTTAACTGAGGTGGACATCTACTATTCATAACACAACCAAGTTTTATTTATGTATTTATTTTTTAACATTTTGCGTTTATTTTAAGCTCTAATTTTCATGTGTGTGTTGTGCAAATAGAAGCTTGGAAACTACTCTTTTCCCTGCTAAGAAAAAGATGGCAGAAGTTATTGCTAGCTTGCCTATGGACTCAATGTCAATAATAAATGACTTTGTAAGCAATGAAACTTTGAAAGTAACATATATGTATACGACACCGATGCCCAAACAAAATAACAATATAGTAATAATACAATATTGAGATTAAAAAGAATAGTACTATAACACATGTTTGGTTTTTTGCTTTTGTTAATCTTTTATTTTTTCAATGAGAGTAATCAGAACTGTTGTTATAATGGCAGCTCCTGTTTTCTTTACAAGCTGGCAATGGTATATGTTACTAGTAGTATAATTATCACTATATATTTTAACCAATTAAATAGTCAGCAAATGTTAATTGTAAGACCCACACATAAGGCGTCATAATTGTATTATATCATGTTAAATCTTTAATAACATAAAAAACCAATAATAGTCAATTATTGTTGATGACACATATTGATTAGCATGTATTTATTTTTTAAGGTCTTTTCAGATGGAATCTTCTTAATGAAAAGGAGAGTTTATGACGGTTAGATTTAATTAAAATCGTATTAGATTAAAAAAAATATAACATATAATTTTTAATATATATCTAATATATGAAAATAAAATATTTTTAATAGTTTAGTTTATCTGCACGGATGAAAAAAATATTATTTTTTTATTATTCATAAAGAAAACACTTTTGTTAACTTCGAGATTTTTAGGGTTCGTTTGATACGATGATTTAAATCAGGGTGATTCTAATCATAATTCTGGAATCAAAACTATGATTTATGATTTTGGGTTCAAATTATGATTCTGAAACCATGATTCAGAATCAAGGGTTTGAATCACCTTGAATCAAGAGGAGGGGGTTAGAATCATGATTTGAGCTAATTTAAAACATCACATCAGATTCTGAATCATGATTCAGAATCATCTAAACTAAATACTGATTCTGAATCAGGATCTAGAATCATGATTTTAGATCCATCTACCAAACGCAGCCTTGTGATGATACCACTGTACCAATTTGCGTTTGACAAGGAAGTGTAAAGCCATGATTCAGAATCATCCAAACTAAATACTGATTCTGAATCAAGATCCAGAATCATGATTTTGGATACATCTACCAAACGCAGCGTTGCGATGATACTACTGTACCAATTTGCGTTTGACAAGGAAGTGTAAAGCTTCAACTGCCCCGTGATTAAGATAAGATGCATTTTGATGTAGGCCACTACGTATGCGTATATATGTTTTTGAATAATGTATATTTCGCCGAAGATGACGGCGCCCATTTGTGGCGTGTGTATCTGAGAAAAGAAATGGACAGATTACGACGTTATAGAATAATTTTTTTTTTCCATTAATTTTAACCCTCTATTTTTCTTTTCTTTTCGTTTCTTTTTTTATTTATTTAGTTGAAGTTCTTTATACCATCTATTTTTAAGGGTATTTAAAAAAAGATACCCTTTATTATGAAGTGTAGTTAATTTATACATTAATTTGTGTTAAAATCTTTACTTTTTCATGTCAAGAATCAATTTCTTTTTCTTAACATTTTTTACTATAAATGTTAAGATAAAGAAAAAAACATTAGAATTTCTAAAAATAACAACAAAGAAAATAAATAAAATGAAAATAAAAAGTGACTTGCTCTGCTCTCCCTACTCCCCACATAGTGCAAGTTGCCTTTGTAACAACCTAACTTATTGAACCATTATTTAACATACTTAAACTTGATTTGTTAACTTTAAAATTTTTTTCTTTACTAAAATTTCAAAAGAATTTTTTAATTTAAAAACTTTAAAATTATTAATTCAAACATGCTTTGTATAAATATTAGAAACCTTATACCGATAAACCAAGCGAAAACTTAAATTTAGAATATACCTCCATCGAGTACTAGAAGTTACCTAAAACACTAGTATCCTTAAGATACAGGCTTAAAGATGGTAAATTGTTAAAATTGTTAATTATTAAAAGGGAAAAAACCAGAAGTACTACTCAATAGTGTAAAAAATATTATTTATGGTACTGCACTAAAAAATAAATAATTATCATGTCATTAATAAAGAGAAAACAAAAGGCTATAATGATAGCTAATTATTTAAAATGACATAAATAATAAATCTGTACAAAATCATGACAAACCATGTATTATTTTCTTATTTAAAATTTTTTTGATCACATGCAACTAAATACTAATCGTTACCATCACATAATTACTTAAGCTTAAAAGTTAAAAATAGCAAAACATTATGCCTAGTTTGATTTTAAAATCATCTTATTCTTTTTACTGTAATAAGACTCATCATCTTATTTTTTGCTCAAAAGTAATAAGAATCATCCTAGTCATAATGACGTGCCATATTGAATCATATTCACTTGACAAAAGTAAATCTTAAACAAATATAAATTTCACAAAAAAAAAAAAAAAAAAAAAAATTCTTAATGAGGAAATAAAATTTAGTTATGGTATCTTGTACCCTTGTTTCCATTATTGGCATCTGTTATGGTATCAGTCACGCCAAGATATGGGTTTTATACTTGGATTACCTATATCACGAACAAATATGAGTGAATTTTCGCTAATAAGTACAAATAAATTCTCATAAACATTTAATAATCAATCATGCATGTCATGATCAGCCATATTATTCTTTTTATATCTTTTCTCTTATTTATACCTAGAGTCAAACTAATTGAGGCTTTAAGTTGGATTTTATTTTTTTCTTCTAAATGTTAGAGCAGGAAAGCTAAATCTTGTCTTTGGGTGCAGCAAAAAGAAAAGGGATCAACAGCAAAGTTGATAGATCCCAATTGCATAAACGTGCTAGACAAAACTGCTGGAAAAAATGGCTTAATTAAGCATTTTAAAGGCCCATTTTGAGGCTCATATTAGAATAGGGCTCAATTAGTTTTTTGAGACGGGTCTCGATGGATTTACGTTCTCCATCACGAGGAGATCGAACTCAATTATTCACACTCAAAATAGATATTGGGTGAATGAGAAATTGATATTCTAAGTATGTCACTTGAAATAGTTAAGGTAGTAAAAAATTGCAAAAATCATACATTTGCTAGGAAAGAAGCCTTGGTGGTGTTTATAAGTGATTGCACTTTAAAGCCTAGGTAAGCATGTATATTAGAAAGGCTCTCTCACACGAAAGAGGGTGCAAATCACGGTCCCGACTGGTTAAGGACCCAGTGTGTGCGCCTACGGACACGAATGCCGGACTGAAAAACCCACTATGTACTGGCTTTATTTTGTATTTTATTTTTTTGATTCGACGCAAGACCTTCCACGTTCAGCCAAACCGTTTGGCTTGCAAAATGGTGATTAAAGGGGCTTAATGGCTAGTTTAATGGCCGAGCTTAATTGTGAGATAATGGTTAGTTATGGCTTCGGTTTTTTCTTCTTAAAATCCGAACCTAGTTATGGTTTGTGGCCGGATTCATCTCAGAGGAAGGAGCACAGTTTTGCACCATAAAGATTAGACCATAATTGTGTGATTAAGTCTCACAATTCCTTATCTCAAGACCTCTTTCTCAAGAGCCTATATAAGGCTTGTAACACATGAAGGAGAGCACTAACTTGCACTCGACCACTCTTCTCCTCCTCTCTCTCGGTTTTTCTTTTTCCTCGAGTTCTTTTTGTAGTCGTTTTCGGTGATAGAGGAAAGGTGTAGTTCTAGTTCACCGGACGGTTCCGATAGTGCTTCGAGCTACCGTCGTTGTCGTTGTATCCTGAAAACTGGACATCTAACATAACCTCAAGCATTCACTGAAGGGGACAAATTCATTTTAAGGAAAGCGTAGATCACAACCTCGACATCCTTGGTAATTCATTTTCCAAGTTTGGTAGAAAGATTGAATTTGTGTTGTAACAATTTTATTATTTTGTTCTTGCAAAAAGTTGTTATAGATATTGTTCTTCTTTGTATTATCCATATTATTGATAACAATCTTAAAACATATTTGATACAAAGGAGGACTTTGTAGGAAAGAAAGAAAAACAACGTTTTTTTTTTGTTGTAGGAAATTTTTTACCAATTTCCTTACTAACTTGGAAATTTTTTTTGAAGAAATGGCTGATAACATGAGCGTGGTTGTTTCTGCTAGAAGCAACACTATGAGGCCTAAGCCGTCGCCGGTGGGACAAACGTCTGTCTCGGTCCTAACCCCTGCTTTGATCTTGACACGGCCTTCACCAGTCTTGGTTCATGTGAACCACAATGAGAAGCCTGATAAAGTCAGTGGGCTAAATTTTAAGACTTGACAACAAAAAATGTTGTTTTATCTAACAACATTGAATCTTGCGAGCTTCTTGAAAGAGGATCCTCCTACTGTTAGAGAGGATGAAGTGGATACTCAAGCATTCCATGCAGTTGATGCATGGAACCATTCTGCCTTCCTATGTCGGAACTATGTGTTGAACGACTATATTGATGGACTTTACAACGTGTATAGCTTAAAGAAAACAACTGAGGAATTATGGGAATCTTTAGACCAGAAATACAAGTCTGAAGACGCGGGTGCTAAGAAGTTCTTAGTAGGCTAATTCCTGAATACAAGATGGTGGACTCGAAAACTGTTATTAGTCAAGCTCAATAGCTCTAATTGATAATTCACAAGATACATGCTGAAGGAATAACTATTAGTGAATCTTTTCAGATGCACAAGAGGAAAGAAATGACCGTTGAGCAATTGGTTGTCAGGCTTCGTATTAAAGAAGACAATAGGCGGTTTGAGAAGAAGTTCTCCAATGCAACCGCAAGCTCTGCTGAGGCTAATGTGGTGGAGCATGATGGCTCCAAAAAGAAAAGAGAACCCAGATCCAAGTTGGGACCAAAAGGAGGAATTGTCAAGAAAAAATTCCAAGGGAAATGCTTCAATTGCAATAAGGTTGGGCACAAGTCGGCAGATTGCAAGCTGCCGAAGCAAAACAAGGATAAAGAGGCCAATGCGGTGGACACCATTTCTAAAGAAGTATCCGACATCAGCTTGTCAACTGTTGTCTCCAAAGTGAACTTGGTCGACTCCAATCCAAAGGAGTGGTGCCTCGATACTGGGGCTACTAGACACATTTACTGTGACTGGGCCAAGTTTGTTGATCTAATTCCGTTGGAAACTGGAGAGAAGCTTTTCATGGGTAACTCCGCAACTTCTGTGATCAAAGGCTAAGGAACGGTGTTCTTAAAGATGACTTCGGGCAAGGAAGTGAAGCCCCACAACGAGCTATATGTGCCCGACATCTGAAAGAATCTTATATCCGGGACGATGCTTAGCATGCACGACTTCAAGATGATGTTTGAAGCCGATAAAATAGTTTTGTCTAAGATGAGAATGTATGTGGGGAGGGGTTATGTAAAGAATGGCATGTGGAAAATGAATGCCATAGCTGTAAAACCCAAGAAAATGAATAAAAAGAAAGAGTTTTTCATTTATATGTTTGAGCCTTCTAACTTATGGCATGGTAGACTAGGACGTGTTAATTATGATACATTGCGTAAATTAATTAACTTGGATCACATACTCGCATTTCATATTGATTCAAAATGTAAATGTGAAACTTATGTAGAGGCTAAACTAATAAGGTCATCATTCCAAACGATAGAAAGAAACACTAAACCACTTGATCTAATACATAGTGATGTTTGTGACTTAAAGTTTATTCAAACTAGAGGTGGTAATAAGTATTTTATCACTTTCATTGATGATAGCACAAAGTATTGCTATGTATATTTGCTAAAAAGTGAAGATGAAGCTATAGAAAAATTTTCTCTCTACAAGTAAGAAGTTGAAAACCAACTTAATAAAAAGATTAAGATGGTAAGAAGTGACCAAGGTGGTGAGTATGCCGAACCACTTAGTGCACTTTGTGCACAACATGGAATTATTTACGAAGTCACACCTCCATATTCTCCCCAATCGAATGCCATTGCTGAACTAGAAAAATCGTACCTTAAAGGATATGATGAATGCGATGTTAATAAGTTATGGGTTGCCACAGAACATGTGGGGAGAATCCATTTTATCAGCTAATTACCGTTTAAAAAAGGTTTCGCGTAAGAAAATCGATAAGACCCACTATGATTTGTGGAAAGGAAGGAAACCTTCTTACAAATACTTGAAAGTATGGGGGTATTTGGCCAAGGTAATGACACCAACGCCAAAAAAGATGAAGATAGGTTCGAAAACGGTTGATTGCATCTTCATTGGGTATGCTCATAACAGTACCACATATCGGTTCCTTGTGCACAAGTCTAAAAACCTTGACATACACAAGAACACGATATTAGAGTCTAGGAATGCATCGTTCTTTGAACATGTATTTCCATGTAAGACTAAGGAAAATGAGCCAAGTTCGTCAAAATGAATTTTTGAGACTATCATAGAAGATAGTAGTCAAAATTCTGAAAACAATGAAGACGTGGAAATAGAAGAAGAGCCTAGACGAAGTAAGAGAACAATGATAGAAAAGTCTTTCGGACTGGATTTTCTAACCTATATGCTAGAGGCTGAACCTCAAACGTATAAAGAAGCTGTGAGCTCAACTGAGGGTCCTTTATGGAAAGAAGCCATAAAGAGTGAAAGAGATTCCATTTTACAAAATCATACTTAAGAACTAGTAGACCTTCCACCAGGAAATAAACTACTAGGTTCTAAATGAATTTTTAAACAAAAAATGAAGACAGATGGAACAATTGACAAGTATAAGGCCAGAATAGTAATAAAAGGTTATAGACAACGAGAATGTCTTGATTACTTTGACACGTATTCTCTTGTGACGAGAATAACATGTATAAGGATGATACTAGCGATTGTTGCGCTGCGGAATCTTAAAGTTCATCAAATGGATGTGAAGGCAACCTTTCTAAATGGAGATCTAGAAGAAGAAATCTACATGGAACAACTTGAGGGTTGTGTAGCTCCAGGACAAGAGAAAAAGGTCTGCAAATTGGTGAAGTCTTTGTATGGACTGAAATAAGCACAAAAATAATGACATAAGAAATTTGACAATGTCATGATGTCAAAATGGATTCAAAATCAACGAGTGTGACAAATGTGTTTATGTCAAAAATACAAAAGATGGTTTTGTCATTCTTTGTCTGTATGTAGATGACATAATAATTGTGGGTAGCAATGATCGGATGGTCAAATCTACCAAACACATGTTGAACTTAAAGTTTGACATGAAAGATATGAGACCAGCTGATGTGATTTTGGGTATCAAAATTAAAAGGGTGCCTGATGGTCTCATATTGACTTAGTCACATTGCGTGGACAAGATACTTAACAAGTTTAATAAAAATGATTCTGGTATAGCCAGAACTCTGATTGATATAAGTTAAAATATGGCCAAAAACAGAGGATAAAGCATATCCCATGTGGAGTATGCTAGAGTGATTGGCAGTCTGATGTACTTAGTGAGCTGTACAAGACCAGATATTGCCTTCACTATAAGTAGATTGAGCAGATTCACGAGTGACCCAGAAAATGACCACTGGAAAGCAATTGTGAGAGAACTGAGGTACTTAAGATATACTCATGACTATGGACTGCATTACACAAGAGAACCTGCTATTTTAGAAGGATACTCTGACGCAAGTTGGATATTTGATACACAGGATTCTAAGACTACTAGTGGATATGTATTTACCATGGGTGGTGTAGCTATTTCATGGAAATTCTCTAAGCAAACGGTAATAACCAGATCCATGATGGAAGCTGAGTTTGTCGCTTTGGATAAATGTGGTGAAGAAGTTGAATGGCTTAGACATTTCTTAGAGGATATTTTGGATTTGCCAAAATCTGCACCTGTAAATTGCATACACAGTGATCGCCAATCAGCTATTGGTAGAGCACATAATACGATGTATAATGGTAAGTCTAGACATATACGTCGTCAGCATAATACCATTAGACAACTAATCTCAATGGGAGTCATAGCCGTCTACTATATAAAGTCGAAAGACAATATTGCGGATTCGCTGACCAAAGGACTGAATAGATATCAAGTTGAAAAAACATCGAGAGGAATGAGACTGAAGCCCATGGAATAAATAGGTCGAAGTAGTAGAAACCCAACCTAGTTGACTGGAGATCCCAAGATCTAGGTTCAATGTGACAACTAAATTGTATAGACCAGCTGAGTTCACTGTGAAGGTAACCCCGGCCTATTGCTATGATGATAACAGTGAAACCCATACTAGAAGAGGTTAAACATTAGTTTTTAATGATTCTTATGCATCGGATACGTCAGGAATCCGAGCAGAGTAATACGGGTTACTCTTCATTAAGAAATCACCTATGTGAGAGAGAAATGAGGGCCATTTCAAAGGAGAATTGTGAGGGCTCAATTCTTTAAAAACTCTTGTAGAACCAGGTACATGTTCATGGCTGAAACAAACATAACAATGAGAACATAACTGTGTCAGGAAGATGTCTATTTGAGGTATATTAACGTTTACACGAAGGCAGAACAGTTCAAGGACATCGCGTTTACTGGTCAACCAATAAAGTTAATGTATTCTCATAAGGGAAGGTTCAAGGCTTAATGCCTACCTATCCTTTGCAGGCATCGACTGTAGAACTCTATCACCGTGTCGAGTCTGTATTTTTTCTCATCGTTAGTCAATTTTCATTCATGTGGGGGATTGTGGGAAAAAAAATGGCTTAATTAAGCATTTTAAAGGCCCATATTAGAATGGGGCCCAATTGATTTTTGAGACGGGTCTCGATGAATTTGCATTCTCCATCATGAGGAGATCAAAATCGATTATTCATACACTCAAAATGGATATTGGGTAAATGAGAAATTGATATTTTAAGTATGTCACTTGGAATGGTTAAGGTATTAGAAAATTATAAAAATCTCACATTGGCTAGGAAAGAAGCCTTGGTGGTGTTTATAAGTGATTGCACTTTGAAACCTAGGTAAGCATGTATACCAGAGGGGCTCTCTCACACGCAGGGGGGGGGGGCAAATCACGGTCCCGGCTGGTTAGGGGCCCAATGTATGTGCCTACGGACACGAATACCTGACCGAAAAACCCACTCCGTACTGGCTTTGTTTTGCAATTTTTATTTTTTGATTCAGCCCAAGACCTTCCACGTTCAGCCAAACCGTTTGGCTTGTATAATGGTGATTAAAGGGGCTCAATGGCTAGTTTAATGGCCGAGCTTAATTGTGAGATAATGGTTAGTTATGGCTTCGGTGTTTTCTTCTTAAAATCTGAACCTAGCTATGGTTTGTGGCTGGATTCATCTCAGAGGAAGGAGCACGATTTTACACCATAAAGATTCTACCATAATTGTGTGATTAAGTCCCCTTGTCTCAAGACCTCTTTCTCAAGAGCCTATATATGGCTTGTAACAGATGAAGGAGAGCACTAACTTGCAGTCGACCACTCTTATCCTGCTCTCTCTCGGTTTTTCTTTTTCCTCGAGTTCTTTTTGTAGTCGTTTTCGGTGATAGAGGAAAGGTGTAGTTCTAGTTCGCCGGATAGTTTCGATAGTACTTCGAGCTACCGTCGTTGTCGTTATATCCTGGGAAACAGACATCTAACGTAACCTCAATCACTAATCGGAGGGGATGAATCTGTTTTAAGGAAAGCGTGGTTCACGTGCCTCGATATCTTTTCCAATTCGTTTTCCAAGTTTGATAGAAATGTTGATTTGTGTTGTAACAATTTTATTATTTTGTTCATGCAAAAAGTTGTTACATATATTATTTTTATTTGTATTATCCATATTATTGCTAAAAAAATAAGAAGGGAGAATATAGGGACGATCGACATTCTACATTATGATAGTTGATATAACTTATGCAATTACTTAGTTGTTATATATGTATATATATTTTGTAGGATTAATTTTCTCAGCAACTTAAAGATTGTAGATTTATATTTGAGGGACAGAATGACTTATTATCTGCAGCGCCAGGGACACCGAAGCATCCTGGCCATGTTAGAGGTCAGTCCCAATTTGTTAGACAAAAGACTTTTATACACAAGTCGATTCAAAAACTCTAGTGTAAAAGATGTTGAGATAAGTGCATTAAAGGCTAATTTTGTGGTGCTAACGACTATTGTTGAAAGTTTACAAAGGAATATATATATATATATATATATATATATATATGTAAAAAAAAAG